TTATTTAATAGTTAAACAAAAGAGTATATAGTGACCCTATTTAGCTGTACAGCCTCATTTTGTTCTCTTATTATTTTGCTATTCCACCTAAGAGTCGGCTTGAATTGATGGAGGCTTCCATTATGTAATATTTCAAATTTGTTTATTTTTATCAGCTTTTAAAATATATATAATTCACATATCACACAGTTTGCCCTTTTTTTTTTTAACTCAATATTTTTTAGTATACTCACAACTAATTGAAACCATCACCAGCCAATTTGAGGACATTTTCATTACCTGAAGAAGAACCCCTTCACCCGTTAGCTGTCATTCCACTGTCCCTCTCTCCCTACACCAGCTCTAAGCAACCATTAATCGACTTTGCTCTATAGATTTCCCTGTTATGGACTTCTATATGAGCAGAATCATATAAATCATATAACCATATAACATGAGGAGGTCTCAAAAAGTTCATGGAAAAATGGAAATTTTCCACAAGTTTTTGAAGCCCCTACGTATATAATCTTTGGTTATTGACTTCTTTTGCTTAGCATAATGTTTTCATGGTTCATCCATGTTGTATGTATCAGCACTTTATTGCTTTTTATAGCAAAATATAGCCAAATAATAATGGAAATAATTTAGAAAAGTGTTAAATAGATGTTTACCTTGAGCAACGCGAATGACCTTACCAATGTGTCCCTGGAAAGTACATTGTACATACATTATTTCTACTTTATTAGGCTGTATATTTATCTTATCATTTTTGCTTTTACTGTAAACCACAAAAACCAAAACCCCTATCATCAAGTTGATTCTGACTCATAATAAGCCCTATATGGGTTTCCTAGTAGGGAGCTCTGGTTTCTTAGTAGTTACGAATCGGGTTGCGAACCTCAAGGTCAGCAGTTTGAAACTACCAGCTGGTCTGCGGGAGAAAGATGAGGCTTTCTGCTCCCATAAAGATTTACAGCCTTGAAAACCCTGCACAGAGTCACTAGGAGTCGGAACCAACTCCATGGCACATAACAACAACAGGGTTTCTGTGGTTGTAAATCTTTATGAGCGCAGAAAGCCCACGGAGTGTCTAGTGAGTGACCCGCCGACCTTGTTAGTTAGCCAGGACTAATACTACAGCATCACCAGGGTTTGTTCTGTTAGTTTTATTTTAGGTTTTAGGTATTATGAGTTAGTAAATTATTTTGGGGGCCTGGGAATGCTCTAAAGTTTTTTTCCATAGAAATCATTGGTAATTTCTTATTTGCTTTATGTCATTTGGGTTTTATCATAATGCTCTACTTTAGGATAGTAGAGAAAAGCTGTAATTTTTTTTATATGTTATTAGATTTGGTTTACTAGTATTTGATTGTGTTTTATGTCCATGCTAATATGAGTTATTGGTCTATAATTTTCTTGTCTGCCTTTGGTATTAGGAGACTATTGGACTCATATTATCCAGCAGTATAGTATAAGCACTGGATTGCTAACCAGAAGGTTGGTGGTTCAGTCCCACCAATCACTTCTCAGAAAACATACACAGGGTCACTATGAGTTGAAACCAACTCAACAGCACTTAACAACAACAACAACAACAAAATGGATTAAAAGTGTCTCCTTCTTGCTCTGGTAGCATAGTGGTTACAAGTCAGGCTGCTACCCTCAAGGTCAGCAGTTCGAAACTACCTGTGGCTCCATGGAAGAAAGATGAGGCTTTCTGCTCCTGTAAAGATTTACAGACTCTGAAACCCTATACAAGGTTACTATGAGTCGGAACTGACTCCACAGAACATAAACTCCTCCTCTGTATTTTTTAGGATTAGCTGTGAAGAATTGATATTAAGTTTTCTTTAAAAGTTGGCAGAAATATGTAGTAAAAGTCACTTGCATCTAGGTTTTTCTTTATGTGTGCTTTTTGATTATTTAATCTTTTTGGTTCTTCAGGGTCTTTTCACTGTATTTATTTCTTTTTGAGTCAGTTTTGGTAGTTTGTGAATTCTAAGCATATTTATTTCATGGAAGTTACCTAATTTGTTGGTGGATACTTTTTCATAGTATTCTCTTACAGTCCTTCTATATCTGTAAGGTTGGTCTCAGTGTCTCCTTTTTCTTTTCTGATTCTAGTAATGTAAATCGTCTTTTTTCCTTGCTCAGTCTAGCTAAAGGGTAATCAGTTTTGGTGATCTTATTCAATGAATTGGATTTTCCCTGTTTTACAAGTCTCTACTTCATTCATTACCACAAAAGAAGTGATGGATGGTATTGAAGGAAGAAGTCCAAGCTACTTTCAAGGTATTGGTAAAAATGTTCCAGGAATTTGTAGAATAACAGTTGAGATGTTTCGACAAATAGATGTAACTCTAGAATTGCTCACTCATCTATGCCAAGAACTTTTCAAGAGAACTACTACCTCAACTGCCTGGAAGAGATCCATGTTTGTTCTGATTCCAAAGAAAAGTGATCAAACAGAATGTGAAAATTACCAAACAATATCATTAAAATCACCTGTAAGTAAAAATTTACTGACGATATTTCCTAATTGGTTGCAGCTGTCTACATTGACAGAGAACTTGCTAGAAATTCAGGCCAGATTCAGAGAGGATGTGGAATGAATGATATCATTGCTAATGTCAGATGAATCTTGGTGAAAATAGAGAATACCATAAAGATGTTTACCTATTTTTTCTTTGCTATGCAAAGGCATTAAACGGTGTGGATTATGACAAACTGTGGATAACATTATGAAAAATGATAATTCCAGAACCTTTTATTATGATCATATGGAACCTGTGCATATAGAACAAGGGCAGTCTTCTGAACAGAAGGGGATACTGAATGGTTTAGAATCAGGAAAGGTGTGTGTCAGGGTTATATCCTTTCACCATACTTATCCTGTCTGTATGCTGAGCACATAATCCAAGAAGATGGATTATATGAGGAAAAACATGGCATCAGGATTGATGTATGATTCATTAACAACTTAAAATATGTAGGTAACATAAACTTACTTGCTAAAAGCAAAGAGGATATGAAATATTTTCTTATGAAGATAACAAAATACTGAAGTACACATCAAAGAAAAAGTATTTCTCACAATAAGCAGCATCATGATTAATGGAGAAAGGTCGAAACTATCGAGGATTTCATTTTACTTGGATCCACAATCAACACCCATTGAAGCAGCAGTCAAGAAATCAAATAATGTATTGCATTGGGTAAATCTGCTGCAAAAGACCTCTTTAAAGTATTTAAAAGCAAAATTGTCACTGAAAGAGCAAAGTTGTCACCAAGCCTAATGCTATTTTTCATCGCCTCATGCATGTGAAAGCAGGCCTGTGGGGCTACAAGGTCAGTTTGAACCACAAGATCAGTTCAAGCTTAGAAATCCTATACCGCATTCCTATGAGTGGGAACTGACTTCAATGGCACGTAACAATGCATGTGAAAGCTTGACAGTGACTAAGAAGGACTGAAGAAGAATTGATGCCTTTGAATTACATTGTTAGCAAAGAATATTGAATATGCCATGGAATGCTAGAAGACCTGTCTTGGAAGAAGTACTGCCAAAATACTCCCTAGAATCGAGGATGGTGAGTCTTTTTCTCACATACTTTGAGCATATTCCCAGGAGGAATCAGTCCCTGAAGAAGGACATTATGCTTGTTAGAGGGTCCGTGAAAAATCAGAACCTTATTGAGATGGATTGGCACAGTTGCTATAACAGCGCGATCAAACAGAACAGTTGTGAGGATGATACTGCACCAGCAATGCTCCGCTCTGTACTTAGGTGCCAAATAACACCACCAACAACCCTGGTCTCTACAATTCTGTTATTTCATGAAAGGGCAAGTTAATGATTAAAAAAAGAAATGTAAAGTTATAAGGTTATAGGTTGTTATTGTTAAATGTCATTGAGTCAGTTCCAACTCGCAGCGACCCTGTATAGGGTTTCTGAGGAGCAGCTGGTGGGTTTGAACTGCTGACCTGTTGGTTCGCAATCCAGTTGTGTATGCTAATTTCCAGGTGATTGATACAATAATGAACATTTATCCCAGTTCTCTGTTTTACTCACTACATATCTTATATATAATCCTCACAGTAATCTTCTTAGGTAGGTACTGATATTAAACCCAATTTACAGATGAAGATACTGAGACATAGACAAAAATAATCTCTTGAAGATCAATAACTAATACCCTTGGCTGATGGTTCCACATTAGTGGATTCAGTGTCTGAGGGTTCCAATTAGCGGATTCAGACAGTGGGTTGGAAATACTCAAGAGAGGAAAAAAAAAATTAAGTGGTAAAAGCAATCCCTCAAAAGCTGAGATTAAGCATAAGCTGTTATTTACATAGCATTTACATTATATTGTTATTGTTGTTGCTAAGTGCCATCAAGTGGGTTCAGACTCATAGCAACCCTGTATAGGGTTTCCAAGGAACAGCTGCCAGCCTTGTGCTTTAAGTCCAGTGCTGATCCTACAGAGCCAGACTAGGAGGCCTTACATTTTATTAGGTATTATAAATAATCTACATATGTGATAGAGTATATGGAATCACTGCACTATTTTATAAAAGGGTCTTAAGCATGTATGGATTTGGGTGTCCATGGGGTGCAGGGGGGTGAGTCCTGGAACCAGTTTCTTGGCGTCCTGATAGACAACTATTTGTGATAGAGCCAGAATGCAAAGTCATGTAGATATACGCCAGAAACAACTTTCTTAACCATAGAGCAGTGAACCATAAGGGATATATATACTAGTTATCAAATTTATATATACATTGGATAAATAATAAGCTGCTAAGAATATAAAAATAAGTGATTATAATTTGCTATATGAAATATCTTTGTTGTTGTTGGCTTTAGCAGATATGAAAATAAGCTCTTGTTTTTCTGTACCAAACTGTATTACCCATTTAGTTCTTACTTGTGATTAAAATTTTTTTTATAATAGCGCTACTTTCTAAGTGTTTTTAAGTAGTGTTGATCATAAAACTTTTTGAAATTTACCATCAGGCCAATGGTGGCAGACTACATAGAACTATGCTTCGTGGTGTTCTGGGAAAAACCTTTCGACTTGTTGGCTATACTATTCAATATGGTTGTATAGCTCATTGTGCATTTGAATACGTTGGTGGTGTTGTCATGGTAAGTTTGATATCCAAGGATAATTATTTTAAACATTCTTTAAGTTGAAGGAAAATACATTTTTCTCTTATTTACAGTTGAAGATGAAGTGTAAACATCAGAACATAAAATCATTCCAAATTTTGAGACATAAGAGAGTTTAAATTGACACTGATATAAACTCTAAGAAAATTATTTTAAATGTGGTTCTTTATTTTATTTCTGATAGTGACATGGAAGATCCTATTTATTATCTAATAATAATAATTGCTACTAATTATTGAATGTTACTTGCTTACTGTGCTCCAGGATATGTTTTGTGTTTTACTTTAATTAATTCATTTAATCTTTTACACTCAATGAGAAACCCATTTTGCATACGAGGAAACTCATACTCCAAAAGCTTAAGTAACTGGTTTACAGTCCCACAGCTATTAAGTAGCAGACTTGAAATTTCAATACAGTTTTCTCCAGTCTCAAAATTCTTACAGCTAAACACTGGATTTAACTGTCATTAAAACAAATTATTCTACCTGATGTCAGTATTAAACTGTTAAAGCTACCTCCCTACCAATATTGTTTTTTACTTAATGTTGTATTATGATTGTGTTAACTATGACTTTTATAACCTGTTATCATGTAATTGAAAGAGTAATAATAGACATTACAGAATCATACTGTGTTAAGTTGGATGTAGCTGGAGTAATGCAAATAAATATATTTTACTGAGAGTCCCTTCCTTGATAATCATTTTATATATACTGTTATAAAATGTAACAAAACATTTGCCATCTTAAACAGTGTTGAATGTACATTTCATTAGCACTAATTACATTCATAGTGTTGTGCAACCATCACCACTGACCATTCCCAAATATTGTCCATCACTCAGTACCTCTTAAACAGTAACTCCCCAATTCCTCCTTCCTCCAGCCTCTGGTAACCACTAACATACCTTTGTCTTGATGTACTTACATATTTGTCCACACTGTAGCTGCAAATTGATTATGAATCATTCCCCAAAGATAACTTATTTGGTTTTCTTTCTTTTTTTTTTTTTAGTCTTTGCAGATGATTTATGTTGAGTTAAAAAGGTTTTGAACTCAAATTACAAAATCACCTCTCTTTTTAGTGTTCTGGACCATCAATGGAGCCTACAATTCAAAATTCAGATATTGTCTTTGCAGAAAATCTTACTCGACATTTTTATGGTATCCAAAGGTAAATTTCTATCATAGATATTTGAAGTTTATGGTGAAAATACACATATATATTGTGTCTTTTCTACAGTATCTTTTCTTTTTAAAATACCTACATAAGTAACCATCTAGATAAAATGTTGAGTCAAATATTTTCTCTCATTTTGAGAAGTGTTTTATAAACATGAAGTCTGTTGGGTTATTGTATCCTGTGTCATTGTCCAAAATTGTTTAAACTTCCTTTTATAATGTAAATTTAAGACTACCTTACTGTTTTATTTAATTCTGGAATGTTATGAACCAACTCACCTGACAGTACAATCAACAAGAAGAAGACTGTTTTGAAGGAACTCTGGTGGCACATCGGTTAAGTGCTTAACTGCAGTTCAAAAGGTTGGTGGTTTGAACACACCAGCTGCTCCATGGGCAATGTACTTCATAAAGATTACAGCTTCAGAAACCCTGTGGACCAATTCTACTCTGTCATATAGGGTTTCTGTGAGATGGAATCCACTTGAGGGCATATCGCAACAACAGAATATTTTGAGTTAAGAATAGGGACCTACTGTTGTTTGTTATTAAGTGCCCCTGAGATGGTGCCTATTCATAGGGACCCTGTATAGTGTTTCCGAGGAGTTGCTTGTGGGTTTAAACTGCTAACATTGTTAAATGTACATTTCATTAGCACTAATTACATTATCAGTTATCAGCCCAATGCTTTTCCTAAGTCCCACACCAGGACCCCTAATAAATGCATTGTTGTTGTTAAGTGCCCTTGAGCCAATTCCAACTCATAGCGACCCTATGTAGGGTTTCCAAGTTGGTGAGTTTGAACCACCAGCCTTGTGATTCAAACCGACCTTGCATTCTAGTGCTTATCCTATAGTGCCACACCAGGACTCCCCTAATAAACCTATTTGTTATTGTTGTTAAGTGCCATCTAGTCAGTTCTGAGTCATAGCAACCTTATATAGGATTTCCAAGGAGCTGCTGGTGAGTTTGAACCATTTACTTTGTGATTCAAACAACCTTGCGATCCAAATAAACACAGTGGTGGTGGTGTTAAGTGCCGTCGATTTGGTTCCAACTCATAAGAGTTTAATAATTGTGTTATCCATGGACTCTGATATAGGCAACTTTAGGGGTTCTTTTGCACAGTAATGCACAATGCTCTACATAACATCCATTTAGGTAGCATCTGACCATATTTTACATCTGTGATTCCGTAGGATTATCATCGAGTTCAGTAATCCCAGTTAAAGAATGGGATTTAGCAAATGCCACAATTTCCTGCTACGCAGCAACGTGTGTATCTCAGAACTTTTGTATTGAAAAAGTAAATCTATGCTAGTTTTTATCTCATTGTACTATAAAAGTTGGCTATTTTGAGCTGATATTTACCTTATGGCATAAATAGGTTTAGGCACTCCTCCTTCACAATTGACCTTTACTATAATCTATTTCACATTATTGAAAAATAGTCAAGAAGAGTTTAAAATAGATTTTAGCATTTTCTGACCTTTCACCAGTCTTAGATTCTGTAGCTAGAACTCTGTTCATCTGTATGGTCTAGCAAAGGTCCTTAGGAAATTCTACAGACATTTTATCTCTATCAACTTCAGAATACCTAATTAATAGGTATAAAACAAAACCAAGTGTAATACCGTCTAGTCAATTCCAACTCACAGCAGCCCTATGTAGGGTTCCCGAGACTAAATCTTTATGGGAGAAGATAGCCTCAAGCCTTTCTCCTGTAGAGCCAATGATGAGTTTAAATTTGTGATTAGCAGTACAATGCTTATCCTACAGCACCTCCAGGACTTCTTAATTGATAGATATGAACATCCTTAACAAGGAACTGAACTTGATGGCTATGTAGTTTTTGAATGGTGTCTTTTCCAGTAGATACTTTTTGCATTCAAATGAGTATACACATGACTACATTCAGTAAATTAAGATTCCTGGCATGTTTCATTTGCAGTATATTTACGTAGGGGACTCAGTAGATTGCAGGACAGCTCAAGTTCTGATATTTATAGGAGACATGCCAAAGTAACTTTTATAACCAAGATAGCCAGTTGACAGACACCTCTGGCTTAAATATATTACTGTCCTGAGTAGTCTTTTTCTTGGATTTGCAGCACAGAAATCTAAAACTTCAAGGAAATTTCCGCCTTGTCAAAATGTCATGATGACTGCATGTTGCAAGTCTGTTTGGGATCTGGTATCTGAAGCACATGGCTTTCTTTTTTGTCAGCCACACAGAACACACACACTTTAGACTATCATAGACTCTCAGTACTACTTATTCTTTCAACAAAGAGTTAACGAGCACCTGCTAACTGAAAGGTCCACCATTCGAACCCACCAGCCACTCTTTGGAAACCCTACAGAGGATTGCTTTGAGTTGAAAGGAACTCGACAACACTTAACAACATAACAATGTATAAAATATGCTGTACATTATAATGAATGTTGAGATGAATAAGATAATTGACCCTTTTTTTCAAAAGTTTATATTCTAGTAGGATGATAAGGATTATAACTACAAATGAGATAGGAAAATTAAGTCATCATTTTATTAAATTTCTTTATAAACACTATTTACAAGAGACAGGTATTCAAAGAACATGTATTTTGATAGGCTTTATGCGTATATGTGGTTAAACCAGTTGCTGTAACTAAGTTTTGTTTCATGGCTACTCCAGGGTCATCAGAGTAGAACTGTTTCACTGGGTTTTGTAGGAGCAGATCACCAGGCCTTTCTTCTGAAGCAACTCTGGGTGCATTTGAACCATTTTTTGTTAATACTCCAGTGCCTAACCATTTGGACCAACCAGGAACCTCCCATATATCTGGTTGTTGTTAAGTGCCAGTGAGTCAATTCTGACTCATAGCGAACCTGGGTAGGGTTTGAACCACAAACCTTGTAGTTAGCAGTCTAGTGCTGATCCTCCAGTCCCACACCAGGACTCCATATATCTGGTGGTTGTTGGTGGTGTTAAATGCCGTTGAGTCAGTTCTGATTCATAGCGATCCTGTGTATGGTTTCCAAGGAGCAGCTGGTGAGCTTGAACTGCTTACCTGTAGTTCATACCGACCTTGCAGTCCAGTGCATTCACCCATAGCACCATATCAGGACTCCTATATCTGGTTAAACCACCAGAAAGCTACATATACACTGTCTGCATTAATATTGCTCTGTGTGAAAACATCTTGATTAAATTATGGTTTCTATGTTACTGTTCAGGTACAGTGTTTATATACTAATTACTTGATCCCAACCTTAAGTAACTTGGATATATCATGTTGCAATCTTGTTCATCAGAAACAATTCTACTATGATGTCAGTTGGTTAGAAAGAATAGTTTATCCCGTTTTCAATAAAGGGCATCTTTATATTGTCTCAAAATCATAGAATTTCATGATATAATAGCCTTCGTGTCTTATAAAGACTTGCCATAAAAATGACGGTTTATGAACAATGTTTCTTGTGAACAATGTTTCTGTATTCTATAAAATTGCTGACAAAGATGGTGCCTTTTATTCCCTTAAGAATTTTCCTTGTAAATTTCTCTTTGACTTAGTTGTTAGGGAAATTTTTGCTTAACCTCTCAAACTACTTCTTTTTTCAGTTAATGATTGCCATGTAATTAGTCTAATTTTGCTTTTGGTTTGCCTACTAGAAAGTTTATAATTCATTTTTTTGTACTTGTATGTAGCAACAGCTACGTTTCTAATTAAACTATGATCTTTTATTTTCCTGGTTTTTGATATTTTGTCATTACAACATTTATTATAAATGCACCAAATTAATTCTGAAGTTAGATACAAATTATAAGTAAATATATTAAATACTTTGAAATATGTGTGTCAGTCAACAGAAATTCAGAATTCACTTACTACTCATTTTATTCTATTTTGGGGCAGCACTAATCCTGCATTTTTCTGTACCTCTTCCTTTTTCCTTACTACTTTTTCAGATCTTTTCTAAGTCTAGTATTTATTGAATTGTGTGAACTGTGCCTTTCATATGTAATCTGAGCCAGATTGATTTTATATATTAGCTATCCATTGTATTTCTTTTTTGTAAACACATATTTGGGCAGTTTTGTTTTAAATAAAATAATATTTTATTTTGGTGTTTTTTACCCTTAAATATCAGCATTTCTGACTTTACTGTAAATTATATGGGTTATATAACTCATATAGTGTAAATTCCTCAATTATTTGACCTTTAAGGAAGCATAAAAGAGGGCTTCAGAAAATTCATGGAAAACTTGAATGAAAAGACAATGCAATTTTTTCCATACATTTTTGAAGCCCCTTATAAATGATGCTTCTATTTTTATGGGTTCTGTTGTATCTTGTTCTTGGGTGCTGTTGAGTCATAATGATCCTGTGTACAACAAAATAACCTCACCAAAAAAAATGTATTTAATTTGGGAATATTTCTAAGGAAATTGTTTCTTCATAGTTTGAGTTCTACATTTAAAACATAGTGGATATGGTGCAAATGATAGTTTTTGTGAAATTATCAGGAATTCTAGAATCTTCTATTTTTCATTACTCTCACTGTTAGAATCTTACTCATGACAGCTAGTCAATGATACAAGTCAGTGAAAAATGTTTTTCAAAACTAGTAGATATGTGGAAAGGCCAGTCTATGCAAGGTTAAAGAACGTGGCTTTGCTTAAGTTGCTTTGTGAAAGTATGTGTATGTTTATGCTTAATAACATAAACTTTTTCCTTTTCAGAGGTGACATTGTGATTGCAAAAAGTCCAAGTGATCCCAAATCAAATATTTGTAAAAGAGTAATTGGTTTGGAAGGAGACAAAATCCTCACCAATAGTTCATCAGATTTCTTTAAAAGTCATAGTTATGTAAGTAACATTTTAATTATGTTTTTTATTAATAACTTAATTGATTAATACTAAGCAGACTGACAAAATAAAATAGCTTTTCTTCATATTTTGATTGTAGAAAACGGCTTTATTCAATAGAGCTTATGTATGTTTATAATAAGAACCATTTGGCCATCATATTTCATATATTTTAATTCCTTTTAAAACCCTGTACAAAAATCTAAGTAGTATTTATTTTAGGCAAGATTCTTGGTAAAATTATTGGACAAAATATCAAACAAAAACAGTATATTTGCATATTTTCAAAGTGTGTATCTCAAGGTGTGTATTACAAAGGGAAAGACAGTAACTTGGCAGGAAAGAAATCTAGCAGATGCCACCTGAACCAAATGATCAAGATTTACTTCACCAGTAATCAGACAGTTCAACATAATATGGCCCTTGATATGAAGCACGGTTTTTGTTATTAGGTAGGTGCCATTGAGTCTGTTCTGACTCATAGTGACCCTGTATATAACAGGTTGATACTCTACCAGACACAGCACCATTTTCACAATTGTTAGGTTTGAATTCCTTGTTCCAGCCACTGTGTTAATCCATCTCATTGAGGGTTGTCTTTGTTTGTTGACCCTGTAATTTACCAAGTATGATATTTTTCTCCAGGAACTGGTCCCTCCTCATAACATATCCAAAGTATGTGAGAAGTCTCACCACCCTTGCTTCCATGAAATATTCTAGCTGTACTTCTTCCAAGACAGATTTGTTCATTCTTCCAGCAGTCCATAATATAGTCAATATTCTTCACCAACACCATAATGTATTGATTTTTCTCCAGTATTCCATATTTATTGTTCAACTTTCATATGCAGCTGAGGCCACTGAACATATCTTAGCTGGGTCATGAGCACCTTAGTCCTCAAAGTGCCATCTTTGGTCTTTAACACTTTAAAGAGGTCTTTTGCATTTACCCAATGCAGTATGTCCTTTGAGTTTTTGGCTGTTGCTTCCATAAGCATTGATTGTGGATCCAAATAAAATGAAATCCTTAGTGTCAATGTTTTTCCCATGCATCATGATGTTGGAGTCTTGGTATGGCAGTGTGGGATAAGCACTGGACTGCTAATCACAGGTCAGTGATTTAAACCCACCAACTGCCTCTTTGAAACCCTATACTGGTTGCCATGAGTAATCTATGGTGAAGGCTGTAATCTGATCTTTACCAGTAATTGCTTCAAGTCCTCTTCACTTCCACCAAGCAAGGTTGTGCCATCTGTACGTTGCATGTTCTTAATGGTCTTCCTCCAATCCTAATGCCATGTTCCTCTTCATATAGTCCGGCACTTAACAAGTGAATGGATAAATAGGATACATATGTATAAGACCCTTCCATTTTGTTCCTTTACTTTATTCTCTTTGGGTTTGGCATATTTATAACCATTGTCATGTTGTTTTTATTGTTAAGTGCTGTTGAGTAGGTTCCCACTCATAGTGACCCTGAATAGGGTTTCCGAGGAGAAGTGGCTGGTGAATTTGAAGTGCCAACCTTGCAGTTCAAACTGACTTTTCAGTCCAGTGCATTATCCCACAGTGCCACACTAGGACTCCAATGTACATATGTGCATAATAATATTGGTCAACACTTAATACTTTTTAAGTTAAATTAAGACACTGTTAAAAACTCTTCAAGAGGGTTAACTTATGTAATTCTTACAATAGAATAGTACAATAAGGAACCTGAACAACAGGGTGGTTAAATAAATTGCCAAATACCCAATAGTTAGTGAGAAAGTTGGAATTCAAACTCAGGTACCCTAGTTCCAGAACTTGTACTCCACACCGTTCCACTAGTTCCATTTCCAAAATATCTACTACCCAACTCATTATTATTTCTAGTCTTTTTTTTTATTATCAAATTATACTTCCTGAAAAAGATATTTGTCATTATTGTATTTTTAAAAGAAAACGTTAGGAACAATATTGTTACTGAAAGAGAAACCAATACTTTTTGAGCACCCTGCGTGCTCGCCTCTCCCCCACCTTCCCACCTCCCACTTCCTACTCTTTCTAGCATGAGTTATTCAAGCCTTAAGAATAGCTATTATAGAACCACTTAAGCAAATGCATTCTATTAATCAAAGTGATTTATAACAAAAATCCATCCAAGTTTGGAGCACTCCAGAAAGATATCCAAACAGTTTGTAGGGTCTGCCCCTCTCGAGTGTTCCCCTTTTTAGCTGTCTCAGAAGCATATTCATGCTGTATTTTGTGAAATGGGTTTCTTTCCCTTTCTTTTAAAAAAATCATTGTTGTTTATAAGATGAAGACATTGTTATTCAGATCCTGATTGTGCTGCATAGTAAAGACTATTGATATAAAATGTATTTTGATTTCCAGGCAACAAACGTTTATTCTTGTGTTTGGTTCTTTAGCAAGTAAAACACCAAAATTTTCATTTGGAACCTAGAATATAGAGTTTAGCATATGAAAGCAATAGCATTGTTCATAAGTTGGCAAAAAATAATATAAGCAGATCATTGGTTAAGTGATGTGGAACCATTTTATTCATGCCAGAGTTCTAAAGTTTTTGTGGCAAGCAACATTTATGAACCATGATTTATTTTTTACATTAAGCATTTGGAAACTAAGCAGTCCCTACCAAAGTGCTATTGCAGTGAGTTTCGCACATTTTGATGGTACTGAGGCCAAAAATTCCATCCTTAGGTTATGAAGTGGGCATTGGCTACTAGGATATGGGCTTAATTTTCAACTCTTAAAAGAAACTAATTGTATATGAGCTTAATTTTCAACTCTTTTTAAAAGAAACTAATTGTATATGAGCTTAATTTTCAACTCTTAAAAGAAACTAATTGTATTCACCTCAAACAGCATAAATAACTTTTTATAGGAATTCCATAGTTTGCATGTGGAAGTGCTAATTTGCAAAAACAAAAACACAAAAAATTTTTGGAAGTAGGAGCATATAACAAATGTTGTTGGTTTCCCTTAAGTCGGCTCTGTTTCATGGCCACCTTATAGATAACAGAATAAATTGTTGCTTGGTTCTACACTATTTTCATGTGTTGGTATATTTAAGTGTATCATTGTGGCTGTTGTGTCATTCCATCTCATTGAGGGCTCCCTTGTTTTCATACCCCTCCCCCCACTTTATCCACATGATGTCCTTCTCTGTAGACTGGTCTTTGCTGATGAATGGTTTAGAGTAAGTGAGTTGAAGTCTTGCCATCCTCACTTCTAAAGTGTTTCTAGCTGTATTTCTTCTGAAACTGATTTTTTCTTTTGGTGGTACATGATATATTCAATATTCCTTGCTAACACCACAATTTGGATGCATTTATTATTATTTTGTCTGTCTTTTTCGTGGTTCCATTTTTGCATGTATATGAGGCAACTAAAAAGACCATGGTTTGGATCAGGCGCACTTTAGTCATTATTGTGACATCTTTGCTCTTTAGAACTAATAAGATCTTTTATAATGCATTTGCCCAGTGACATACTTTATTTAATTTCTTGATTGCTGCTTCCACGGACATTGATGTTGATTCAAGTAAAATCACATCATTGACAGCTTCAATTCATTTGCCATTTATTACCATGTTGTGTACCTTGTTCAGTTTTGAGAATTTTGTTGTCTTTATGTTTGGGTATAATCTATACTGAGGACTTTAGTCTTTGATCTTCCTCGATAAGTGCTTCAAGTCATCTTTGTATTTGGCAAGCAAGGTCGTGTCGGCCACATTTCACAGACTATTAATGAGTTACCCTCCCATCCCGACCCCACATTCTTCTTCATATAGTTTGTCTTTCCAGATTATCTGTTAAACTTACAATGTGAATAGGCAGAGTGAAATGATACAGCTCTGCCACACACCTTTTCTAATTTTAAACCAAACAGTAGCCCCTTGTTATATTTGAACGGGTGCATCTTAATCCTTGTAAAGTTCTGAATGAGTGCAGTTAAATGCTTTGGCATTCCTTTTTTTTTTTTTTTTTTTTTGTAAAATAGGAAATGAATAAAATGCATTGACATTCTCTTGTTAGTTTTGCAAAGTAAGCGTCTGTTAAACTTGGTACCTAATTCCCTAGGAAACATACGGCCAGGGCTCAGGCAATATGGTAAAATGTTGCTATAAGCTATTGAAGAAAAGGAGAACAAAAGTCTGTATGAGGATACCGTGTGCAGTAGGTCAGAGCTGTGATTTTATCCCATTGTGAAGCTGTTACTATTAGAGAGTTTGAAATATACTGAATTCCTATCGGCAAACAAACATACTGTAAAATCAATCAAAATCAATCAATCAGCTCCCTTGACACCATATCCTCCAATAAGGATGAGTTATGTATATTTACTGACTCTATCCATAAACTTCTTTTTCTTTTTTGACTTTTCATTGTGAATTGGGTAAAGGTTTACGGAGCTAATCAGCTTTCCATTCAATAATTCATATCAATTTTCTTTCATCTCCTTGATTGCAGTTTCACTTGCTCTCTGTGTTTTCTGTTTCCATTCTCCCTTCTTTTCTAAACCTTCTCATCTTTATGCTTTAATAAATGATTGATTAGTCTAAGTTCATATTCTCTCTTGAAAGCATTCTTGTTAGGCTTTAGTGTCCCTACTTATGACTAAAATGGAAGGACGTATTACATTCGGCAAATCTACTGCATAAGACCTCTTAAAGTGTTCAAGAACAAAGTATCAGTTTGAGGACTAAGGTGTACATGGCCCGAGCCATGGTATTTTCAACAGCTTCCTACACATGTGAAAGTTGGACAGTGAATAAGGAAGACTTTAGAAGGATTGATACATTTGAGTTATGCTTGAAGAATAGTAAAATGCACAATGGACTGCTAGAAGAACAAACAAACCCGTGTTGGAATCAGTGCAGCCAGAATGCTCTTCAGAAGCCAGGATGGTGAGATTTAGTCTCTCATACTTTGGTCATGTTATCTGGAGGGGTCAGTCCCTAGAGAAGGACATCATGCTAAGCAAAGTAGAGGGT